TAGATTCCGGATTTTTTTTATATTTTCAGATATTCTCTGAAGCTTTCTGAATTTTCCTTAAGTTCGCTGCTTTTCTATGAAGTCCTTAGAATTTTAGTAAAGTTCGCTGATCTTTTCTGATGGTCTTAAGCTCGCTTATCTTCTCAAAAGATCCCACAATTTACCTGAAGCATCGTAGTCTTGTGGAAGGTTGCTGAATTTCTCTGAAATTTTCAGAATTTTCTTGCAGTACGGTTAGCTTCTCTGAAAGTCTCATATGTTTTCTGAAGTTTGCTGGTCGTCTCTGAAGTTTTCAGGATTTTCATCAAGTTTGGTGATCTCCCCTGATGATTGGCGATTTTTTTCTATGAATTTAGCAGATTTTCTCTGTAGTTCTATAAATGTTCTGAAGTTATTTGATCCTCTCTGAAAATTGATGAATTTTTCTGAAGTTTGCAGTTTTTTTATTGAAGTTCTCTGAATTACCATGAAGTATGCCGAGCATCTCAGAAGTAAGCTGGATTTAAAAAAGGTTTGTGATATTCTTTCTAAAGTTTTCTGATCTGTGAAGTCCTAAAAGTTCATCTGAAGCTTGCGGATATTTTCTGAAATTCTCAGAATTTAACTGAAATTCAATGTTCTTTCGAATAATTTCAGAATTTAACTGATATATGATATTCTCTGAAAAGCTCTCCAAATTTCCTCAAAGTATTCTTTTTGCCTTTGAAGTACTGAGAATTTCCTGTGAATTTGTTGTTCTTTCCTGAAATTATAAGATTTTTTCTGAAGTTCGCTGATCTCAGAGTTTTTAAAGCTGTACTGATCTTTAATATTGATCTAAGAATATTCCTGAAGTTTAACGAAGGTCACAATCTTCTTAGAATTTTCCTCAAGTTTTTTACGATGTTCTCTGAAGTGTGTTGAATTTCTCTGTGCTTAGCACTTTAACAAAATATGATGATCTTTCAAGATTTTTAATTTTTTCTTAAGCTTTTCATCATCTTAAATTCTTGATTTTTAATCTCAGTTAGTTTAAGTTTGCTTCAAGATTTGCTGTTCTTTCCTGAAGTAATCAGATTTGTTTCTGAAGCTTGCGGATCTTTTCATAAGTTCTCAGAATTTTAAAAACTTTTTGATCTTTTCTAATGACCTAGGAGTTTTCCTGAAGTTTGTTGATCTTCGATACTGTTATTAAAAAAAAAATCTGTAGTTTTTCTTATCTTCTTTGAAGATAGTTTGCTGATATTTTCTGAGGTACTGAGAATTTTCCACAAGTTTGCTGATATTCCCTGAAGCTTTCACAATTTTCTTGATGTTTGTTGATTTTCTCTGAAGATTTTTATTTTTTATTTTGATGATATTCTCTGAAGTTCTTAGAATTTGCCCGAAGTTTGTTTATCTTTGAAGTTTTCAAAGTTTTCCTGAAACTTTCACATGTTTTCCAAAATGCTCATAATTTTCCTGAAGTTTGCTGATCTTTTTAATTGATGTCAGAATTAACCTGAAGTTTTCTTATATTCTTTGAAGATTTTAAAACGTTCCTGTAATTTGCTGATATTCCCTGGAAATTGATGAATTTTGAAGATATTAACTGACATTCTCCTAAGTTCTCAAAACTTTTCTAAAATTCGCTGCTTTTCTAAAATTTTCTATGTTAGCTAAGAGTTCCTAACATTTCAAAAGTTTGCTGATTCCCTGAAGTTTGCAGATATTTTCTTAAGTACTCAAATTTTTCCTGAAGTTTCTCTGTGATCTGCTGATATTCTCAGAAGTTTTCAAATTTTTTTGACGTTAAGGTCTCAGATCTCAGAGAACATCAGGTATTCAGCAACTTACAGCGCAGACCGATAACTTCTGGAATATTCGTAGATCATTGGAAAAGAACTTTTGAAAGCCTTTCTAGAACTTCACAAAATGGCAACACATTTCAGGAAAATTCTGAGGCCTGGTATTATAATATATACCTATATTAGAAGAAAAAAATCATGTTATATTTGAAAATTTAATAGTTTCGCTGCTATTTTGATAAATTGTAATAAAGTTCATTAAATGTTTAATATTTAGTTTCCCTGAAACAGAAACCACATTGCTATATGTTATTGGAGTTTTGTTTTTATTGCATTAGCAGAATATCAAATTGCATACTCGTTTTGTCACTATATTTAATCAAGTTTTCAATTTGATCTCACTGGTGGCAGGAATTGTTTTCCATTCGATATCATAGGAAGAATGCTGTAGATTTTGATATTTTAACCGTTAAAACTACCGAAATGATAGCAATCTAAGTAATCATTATTAGCAGCATTACAACATCAAATTAAGTTTTCAAATTGATCTCAGACTTTGCTCAGAAGACTTATTATACGACACATCATATAACAACTATATGTTTCTGTTCTAGTGAAAAATGGACTCAGGGTTTCCGGAACCTGATTCGTAGCTACCAGTTAATTTATGAAACAGATCCTAGAAAATAATTTTTTTCTCCTTAAATACGTATGGGTGTTTTGTATAAATAATATTTCGGTTGTGTATTGTCGGTTGTGAACCTTGAGAAATAAGAATGGTACTCATAACTATTCAGAATGGTTTTATTGCCCTCTTGCTGTTTTACAAAATAATTTTGTTTAACATAACTGATCAATCAATGTGCTCGTAACGATAATTCTCCGATACATGCTGCGCTAAAATATTGCGGACTTCAAATGCAGTCCGAGGAGCATTATGTCCTCGACTAATTGAATCAGCGGAAACACTTAGTAGAGGATCAACATATGAGCGCCATGACTTCAAAATCCTCCACTGTGCGACAGTGATCCCGAAATTGTGGTTTAACTGTGCGGCGAGCAATAGAAAGCCTTTTATTGAAATTTTCTTGAACTTGTGGTAGATTCCTCCCTGGGAAGGCCAAAGTGCGGCCCGTTGTCCGCACGTGGTGCTTGGATCTCTATGATGCAATATCCTCAACTTGATTTTCTTTTTGCACTTCGAATGTATGGCCGAAATGATTATTAAATACGCAAAACTCAACTTTAAATATGATCATCGAACAAAGATACATCTATTGGAAAAATAGGCATGAGCACCACAGACTTACATCAACGTTAAAAACAGTCGACACTCCGAGTTTATTGGTTTCCTAATCGAATGCTTTTCCAAGTGCGCTTTCAGAATCAGAAGAAGTTTCTCGAACGTTTCTGAATTCATCCGAACTGACCTGACGAAGTAATCGGGGTCCTTTTCCTTCATCAGGGTAAAAGCTGTTTTATAGAATCCTTTAAAAAAACCATAGTTTAGCGACAAGAAATAAATTATGATGCAAATTACCTTCACTTTCCCGCACTTGATTGCACGGTCTCACCCACCACCGACGATGTTGCGAGGAAATATCCTGCAGATACCTCTGTTCCCGCACAGCCTGCACAATTTTCACAATATTTGCAATGCGTTCCATTTTTAACATGAACACAGGACACTGGAAACACAGGAAAACTCGAGAAAACTAGTTCAAAAAACACTTTTCACGGACCGAGAAGCTCTTTGTTTATGAACGATGACAAGTGGAATAAAAATCGGAAGGTTTATTTGCGCATGCATTGTGGGTTGAAATGGTTGAAATGCGGCAAAGCGGCAGCGGTAAAAGCGGTTTAGTACAATGCGCGTTGCCGCTGTGCCGCTTTGTCGTAATGCCGCTGTCATTGTGTTCAGCCCTTTACCCATTTCGATAGAAACGAATGCATGCCCATGAATCATTTCCTCCAGGAAGAATATTAAAAAATTATGAAAATGATAATTCTGTATTTATTGATACCAACCTATTTGTTAAAGTTGTATTTCTCATCAACTAGCTGGTGATAGCTTTCGCCATCCAGGATATTAAGTAGCTATTCATATTCACTGCTTCACATCTAAAAATAAAATTTTAGACTTACTGCACAAAAATCGCCTGCTCGCAACTTCAAAGATTGCCATTATTTAATTGATATCAGAACCATTTACCCAGAATCTGGGTAGATTCAACTCATAGAAATAAAACCAGTTTACTCATTTTTTGACAACTTCATACATCATGCAAAAATGAGTGCGATCTACCCAGTCACTGAGTAGCCTCAAAATAGCGTGTGCGTTTTCTGGTAGGGGAAATATTCACTGATAAAATTTCAAAGATTGTGGGACACTTCTTCTTCTTCTTCTTCTTCGCATTTCAAGCTTATTGCATATCGCATATTAGCTTATTGCGTGCTCTCAACTTAGTGTTCTAATTGCACTTCCACAGTTATTAATTGAGAGCTTTCGATGCCTGTACCATTTTTGCATTGGTATAATTGTGTGACATGTCCAATCATACTTCTATGCCCAGGGAAGTCGAGAAATTTTCCTACCCGAAAAATTCCTAGACAGGACCGGGAATCGAACCCAGCCACCTCTATGTGTCGGACATATACTTAATATGTTTACACATAAAAACCATTAATATGTTTACACATAAAAACCATACATTGACACATACCATTCATTTAACTCATAAATGTCATGTGTGCTGTGGGTGGATTCTGTTTATGCGTGGTCACATGAAAATCATGTGGAATTTCACATGGAAATTCTTCAATAAAAATGTGTGGAATTTTATTAGTGTTGGCTTCGGCAATACCTTAACCTATTATCGTCAGGGGGTGAACAACGTCCTTCAGAGGTCAACTTTGGCATGTGGATACATTGTGTTTCAGAGCATATATTGGCCAAATTTGAGTGCTCTAGGACTTTGTTTACCCCCTGATGATAATAGGTTAAGGTATTGTCGAAGCCAACATTTCCCCTAGCTGATATTTATTCTCCAGAAGATGCGGCATCAGAGCAAAGGCTGGAAGCCGTATCACCATAAACATATTTAAAAATAAGTAAAATCTCCATACCTTTAGGTGAGATTATGTTTAATGCAGGTATTTTAAGCTATAGTAGATGATAAATAAGCAACAAATAATCTATTTAATGTTAAATAGTTATATAAAATAGATACTTACTTGTTTGGTTAAGGTAACTATGAGTAGTATATAGCCGTTAACGATAATCCCTATTAGAATAGCGATAATAGAAATAATTTCCAAAGTTAATGCAAACATTCCAAATGTTTCATAGTGTAGCTTTTCATCTGTTGGTTGCCACTGAAAAAAAAAGAGATAAACATGTAAACATTTCTCATGTAAAAATTTACCTTTCGCGAATGCATTTGCTTGCAAGTGTTGTTCTTATTTATGGAGTACATTTTACGACTCGTTTTCACAGTTAAATAATCATATTGTCGAGTAGTTTCGAGACGACCAACTACGGGTGATTTTAAGAAAATTAAATAATATATTACGATTGTTATAAGCTTAGCATAAATAAGACTATTTTCTCTAGGTTCTAGAAGAAATAAAATATCGAAATATTGTTCCACGGCAAAGTTCAAGTGGTAGAAAACGTAATTTTAATCTGCTCAAATGATGTGAACCATTGAATACTATTTTTCATCATCGAATGCGACAGATTTTGCACCAGCAGTAGTGGCTACACAACTAACTTTCATGTGATCCCATATTTGGCAATTGAACCACTAATTTACATGAACCATATGTGTCCAATGAAATAAAAATGTGATTACTCACATAGAATTTATTCAGATAAAAATCAATAATTTTGCTATTGAAAAAATACACTAATAAAATTTCAAAGATTGTTTTTATGTGTATCATAAATGAATTTTTGCAATGTGATGAACAAATGAAATCTATGTGTCGAACACATACTTAATATGTGTACAAATAAAAGCCATGTGTAACCACACATACTATTCATTCACATGGAAATTCATCAACAAAAACTACAAGGGACAGTCCTATGGGGTTGTAAGCAATGGTGACGTGGTCTTATATAATAAAGCAAAGGACTACGTGGTCTTATATAATAAATCTTATTTGTTAACTGCAGCAGGAGCTTGTGTTTTGTGTAGGAATAGGAATTTGAGCGCTTGACATACATGGCCCACAGCAACTCACGAGGACTACAGATTCCGATCCATAGCGGTGCGGCTTCTTCCTCCTTCTACACCGTTCGAAAAATTCATGTAAATTTCTGCGAGATATAGCGCACATAAAATTAACGCTAGATTTGGCATACATATACGGATATTTCGTGTAAATTTAAGCGTAATATCGCATAAATTAGCAATATTTTATGCAAGCTTGTAAACGATTTCGCTGTTTATGCCAAATATAGCTCAACATTAAACGAAGGGAGATTTTACACGATAGTTTCTTTTCTATGTCGCGATAGTCAGAATTTTTTCAGTGTATGGGCCACGCTTCAAGCTTTGCAGCATCGGTACCAAAATCATGTGCTCCAGCCTGGGGGAGTACAAACAAATAGGATGTTTCCTGAAGGAAAACAACGTGGACTTCTTCACACATGATCTGCCATCGAGCAAGCCACTGAAGGAGGTTTTGCGAGGATTACCGTCATTCGAGGCGGCTGCGGTGAAGTGTCCGAGCTGGAGCGGCTTGGGCTCCAACCTGCGGCCGTGTTCCAGATGAACCGCCGTTCCATCAACAATACCAGCTTCCGTAACCAGTTGTTCCTGGTGCACTTCACGAAGGGATCCACCAGCCTTGCGGCTCTGAGATCCAAAATCCGGGACCTGTTTCAGGTCATCATCAGTTGGGAGCATTACAAACCCCAACATCGTGATGTTACGCAGTGTATAAACTGCCTCTCCTATGGCACCAAAAACTGCCATATGAAGACAAACTGCGGCAAGTGTGCTGGAACTCACTCAACTGCGTCCTGTGAGCAAGTTGATGACATAGAGCCAACGTGTGTCAACTGCGGTTGTAGTTTTCATCACTGTTACTTTTCACCAGGGCTTGATATTCACATTAAAAAGTCAGCACAGTTCGGTTGTTAGAACCAGAGTGTATCTTTATTGCGTATCTTGACTTAACCTAAGCTGTATGTACTGAAGGTACCTGAAGTCATTATGTAAAGACGGACCAATCAGTGATCGATGCACTGATTGAGAGAGAGCAAAAGAGAGCCCACACAGTCGGCACTGCCGCGCGACGTGTAGCTTGGAAATAGTCGGGTACAGTCATAAATTATTGACCCGGTAAAACGACACTTTCATGGGAAAGTGCTTATGCAAATGCAACGGCCATCGGCTCGATGGGTTGCTGACTTATTGGAAATGAAGTGGGTTTGCTAACATGTCCGATACACATGTTACACCACCACCGTTTGGGAAAAAATGATTTAAGATCATTTTTCTTCTGACTTCAAATACCTTTCACAAAATTCTTGAATTATGGAATTATTGTTTGTATTATAAATTTAGTCTTCTTACTTTCTAGCTCATCCTCCCCTTTCGAGAAGAATGGTTTTACATGGTATAACCATTCCTAAAATTGTAATGTAATATTATGTTAAGCTGAAAAATGTAAATTTATGGTTAAGGATGAATTATATTTGATTTAGGATTATTCGATTTTTTTTTTTTTTTTTTTTTAAATGCGTTTATTTTTCCAGGCTCATTTGCCGTAGCTTTGCGGAGCCGATATTCATTGTTTGGATGACAAAATTTCTTAAAACTAACGTTAGTAAAGCGGGGGCCGATTACTCGCGGCTATCTCGAGGTTAGGGGTAACAAATTGTAACAAATGGATGGCAGGGTAGGGATTGAGAACACAAGGTTTGGAGAGCAATGTGCTTTTTATCTCGAACTAAGCGACCAACTGACGAAAAAGACAAACATGGGGGTACACCGATGGGCAGCTAACAACTTGGGGGAACACAAGATGACACTAAATACTAAATCCTCAGATCGATCCGTTTTAAAAACACATAAATTAAATTAAAATATTCGAGATCTCGGCTCGCCAAGATGTCTCTAACGGGCCGCATAGGTTGTTTTCCTCGGGCCCTGAGGGATGCGGATAACTCGGATCTAGCAACACAATGTAGGGTGCATGACCAAAGCACGTGGTCGATATCGTGATAGCCACTACCACAAGCGCACAAATTGCTGCCTGCGAGCCCGATTCGGAAGAAATGCGAGTCTAACGAGTAGTGATTGGACATGAGCCTTGATATGACACGTATAAAGTCACGGCTCATGTCCAATCCTTTGAACCATGGCTTGTTCGACACCTGTGGGAGAATAGAATGTAACCATCTTCCCAGATCACTCTCATTCCATTTTTGTTGCCAGTTGGTGAGGACGTGCTGACGGGTAATTGAGAAAAATTCCGCAAAGGCGATTTGTCGATCAAAAATATCGCCTTCCATAGCGCCCACCTTAGCTAGCGAGTCCGCTTTCTCATTACCCGGAATTGAGCAATGAGATGGGACCCAAGCTAAGGTGATAGTATAGGAGCAGTTAGATAAAGTACTCAATTTTGCTCGGATTTCGGTCAGGAAATACGAGGAGTGCTTCATCGGCCTCATTGATCGAATAGCCTCCAACGAGCTAAGGCTATCAGTAAAAATAAAATAGTGATCAGATGGTAGTGAGGCAATTTGCTCTACTGCGTAAAATATGGCTGCTAGTTCCGCCACGTATACGGAACAGGGTTTTTGCAGTTGATATGAGGCGCTATGAAATTCGTTGAATACTCCAAATCCAGTGGAAGCGTTTATAGTTGACCCATCTGTGAAAAAACTCTTATTGTTACTAACATGGTGGTACTTGTTTGCAAAAATTAAGGGAACAACCATCGATCGATGGTGATCTGGTATTCCACGGATTTCTTGCAACATGGTCAGATCAAAATTTACAGAGGAACTATAAAAGTCTTGGAGGCAAACACGAGAGGAATTGAATGAAGAAAGGCCAATCTCCAGCGTCATGTACTCGTAATAGAGACTCATGAATCTTGTTTGAGGATTTCTGTCGAGCAGCTTCTCAAAGTTTTCTATTACTAATGGGTTCATTACTTCACAACGGATAAGAAACCGGAAGGACAGTTCCGCGAAACGATCTGTCAGTGGGAGAACACCCGCGAGTACTTCGAGGCTCATCGTATGCATCGAGTGCATACAGCCAAGCGCGATTCGGAGGCAACGGTATTGAACCCGTTGCAGCTTCAGGATATGTGTTTTCGCCGCGGATTGAAAGCAGAAGCTTCCGTACTCTAGAACCGACAAGATGGTTGTTCGGTACAACCTGATCAGATCTTCCGGGTGTGCTCCCCACCAAGTTCCGGTAATTGTACGAAGAAAATTGATTCTTTGTTGGCATTTTTGTTTCACATACGCAATATGTTTTCCCCATGTGCTTTTGGAATCGAACCAGACACCTAAATACTTGAAAGATATACTTTGAGTGATTGTTCTACCCTTTAGTTGAAGCTGTAACTGTGCAGGATGATGCTTCCTAGAAAAAACAACCAACTCAGTTTTCTCCGGAGAGAATTCGATACCCAGCTTCATAGCCCAAGTAGACAAATTGTCTAAGGTATCTTGCAATGGTCCTTGCAGGTCCGGTGCATTGCGTATCTGAAAGTAAACCATTCGACTCGACCCATTTGTCTAGACGAAAAAGAATCATTTTCTCCAACAATTTCCGTATACAGGACAGCATCGCGATGGGACGGTACGAGTTATAATCCGACGCGGGTTTACCGGGTTTTCGAATGGCGATAACTCTTACTTGCCTCCAGTCATCCGGAACAATGTTGTGCTCCAGAAATTGATTGAATAAGTTCAACAAGCGTCTCTTCGCGACATCTGGGAGATTTTTAAGCAAGTTGAACTTGATTCTATCCATTCCTGGAGCTGAATTGTTACATGAAAGGAGAGCAAGTGAGAATTCCACCATCGAAAACGGGGAATCTATTTCGTTATTACCCGACGGACGATCACGAACGTTGATTTGAACCGACACCGAATCCGGGCAAACTTTCCGCGCGAAGCTGAATATCCAACTGTCCGAGTACTCCTTGTCTTCGTTAATCGGTGATGACGCGTTTCGCATTCTCCTGCCGACATTCCAGAGTGTTCTCATGGAAGTCTCTCGCGACAAACCATCGACGAACCGACGCCAGTAACCGCGTTTTTTTGCTTTAATTAAGTCCTTAAAAGTTTTCTCGAGGTCGGTGTACCGCTCGAAATCCCCGACCTTGCCGTGTT